TCTACATTCACCCAAAGGGTTCTTTCTACCGTCATACTTTTTCAGCTTCTGGAAAAGTTCAAAATCAAACTTACCCTGTTTCTTAAGCTTGTTTCGGAAGCTTCGTTTCCTGCTGAATGCTGCCTCCTGCACCGAAAAAGAAAGCGCCAAGTGTCAAAACTTAACCACCGAAGACAGTTGGAGGCATTGATTCAATAAAGGAATTGATAGCCTTAGTTTTGAGTGGTTATGTGGAGATCCCACGTCGGTTAGGAGGAGAACGAGTGCCAGCAAGGATGCTGGAACCGAAGGGAGTGGATTGTAAGATCCCACATTGGTTGGAGAGGGGGAACGAAGCATTCTTTATAAAAGAGTGAAAACCTTGAGAGAAAACTTGAAAGGAAAAGCCCAAAGCAGACAATATCTGTTAGCGATGGGCATGGACTGCTGCTGGTTAGCCAGTGAAGTAGTGAAGTTGATTCTAGATTGATAGGGAAGACAATATGACATTAAGTGCTCTGGCTATATGGCTAAAGTTAAGTCGAATTGTGTCGCAGCTCAATGTGTTAGAGGTAGAGAAGGAGGCAGACAAACTATTACCACAGGTTGAGACAAGTTTTCTGCGCGTCGAACTGCTGCTACGAGATCGCGGTTAGCTTTAGTGTACATGCTAGTGACAAGTCCACATTGACCAGCTCTACCAGTTCTACCAATCCTATGTAGAAAATCTACAGCAGAAGTAGCAAAGTCTGCCTGAAAAGGAAAAAACAGATATTCTTCAGTCCACCCCATTTTAAAAGTAAAGCCATTGGAACCAACATTCAAATGCTAATATTGGATCCATAGATGCTAGAGCCATCTGCAGAAAGCATTTTATTAAAAGAGAAGCACCTGAATAACGTGGGCTACGTTTGGAATATCCACTCCTCTGGCAGCAGCATCAGTGCAAACAAGAACACCACCGTTCTCTCTGAAATCAGCCAAGATCTTTGACCGCTCCTCCAAACTGCGGTCTTTGTGGTAACGAAAACATTCCGTACCTGCCACCGACAATATATTGGCCACTGCTTCAACAGTTTCAACGGTGTTCGCAAACACCATTGTTCGAATTGCACCGCCATCAATATTTCTCAGTTGAGATTTAGATTGATTCACAGCCTTGATAAGTTCATCTACCTGGTTATCAACTGTCACTTCAACCCACCTCTGCTCCAATCTAAACTACCAAACAGAGTGTCATTATTCAACTTAAGAAGTAATATGCAGCCAAATGCAAGAATGGCGAAAAGGAAACTGAGAGTGAAGTTTGCAAGAAGATAAGAACAATTGCCTTTTGCCGAGGTCAAATTGTGAAACTAAAGGATACAATCTAACTGATATTTGTGTGAACTCAAAGAAAATAGTGTAAGCAGAAACCAAGATATTAACTTATAATCAACTTTACAGTACAGAGGTGAGAATTTGGAGAAAATCAGACAGTAACCAATAGGCAATGTTCCATTCTAGAGACAAGGTTAAATTTTCAGATAGCTAACAACTAACTGATGTATATTCCCCTGTTTTCACGAAAGAAAGTGATAGCATCTAGTTTATTTGTGAGATCTCACATTGGTTGGAGAGAGGAACGAAGTATTCCTTATAAAGGTGTGGAAATCTTTCCCCAGCAAACGCGTTTTAAAACCGTGAGGCTGACGGTGATACGTAACGGGTCAAAGCAGACAATATCTACTAGCGATGGGCTTGGGCTGTTACATTTTTTATGTAAGACAAAGGTGGTACAAACCAAGGGAGATTCCGGAGCTCTCCATCTCTCTTTACAAGAGATTATTCAAGGGGTCACTACAATGTGGCTAGTCATTTTGCAACCAGAAACTACAAAAGCGCCTAAAATTTATATACATATTTTCAAATCCACATCAGATGGTTGTTAGACAACCATATCGAATAACATTTCCACTCATCGAGCAAATTACTCGAGAATATCAAAGAATAGACCTACATAAAAACTCGGATAAAACGTAACTAAGCAACAAGTATATTCGTTCCTTTCTGCGAACCTGTACACTAGCTTGGAAAGACTTCTGATAGGGCCAAAACAAACTGGCACTATATCAAAGCATTACAAGCTACCCTAATGTTCAAGAGGTCTAATCTCTTCCCCTACTAACGATTATCTTCTTTATACTACACACTTTCTAGCTAACTCATTCTTTCAGCTAGTTAGCTTATACTTCTATCTTCTAACAGACCTAATCCTTAGTCTTGGTCAAACATATTCCTACCCTTTTCCTCAAACTCACTCTATTCGCTAGCTCGCCTAGCCTCCTTCCATGAGTATGCGAAGTGCACAGGAGGTTGAGTCTTATAATTATGTCAAAAAAAAATTTTTTAGGAAAAGTGTATCTCAGAAAAAGGATCTGCTGGAGCACAAGAAATTTCAATTTTCATAAAGTTATGTCCCTTTGAAAGAAGCCCCTATTGAATTTCACAAGTGAATACGACCAACTCGGGCAGTACCTGGGACTGTGGCAGTGTAGATATTTCCCACTAACCCAACTAGCATCTGGGAACATTTTCCGCAGCACTGCACCAGCAGTCTTTTTTCCATTCACAGGAAGAGTTGCAGCAACAAAAATGTATTGTTTACTTCGCTCGTAACTTTTTTGTGCTCTTCTCCAGTCTTTAACTCTCCTAGACGAATATTCAGTTTTCTCCTGTATGTTGTTAGAATCAACATCTTCGTCGTAACTTTCTTCCCCTTCCCCTTCTCCTTCCCCTTCAGAGATGGTTTCAGTTTCTATGTCACTCTCATCCTGTAAAGTAAGCTGGGATGACGCGTCAGCTTCTAATTCCATGAGCCTCTCTGGAGATTCTTTTGAGCGAGACAATAGCTTTTCTTCAAACCGGAGCAAATTTATAAGACGAATGACCTTATTCTGGAAGCTGCCAACAAGAAGCATATCTGCTTCATCAAAAACCTGCAGTAGTTTCAAATAGAACAAGTAAAATAAAAAATTACATCATGGAGATAACATTATTTTAACAGAAATGGGTGAAAAGTACCACATGCTTCACAGCACAAAGAAACTTCATTCGTCGACTCCTGTTTGGTTCAATATAATTAAGTAGAGCTGCTGGTGTTGATACAATAATATCCGGCTTGTAAACTGGCCAACCCTGCAGTTTGAGTTCTTAGTCAAAGATAGAATCATATCGACATGGTTAAAGTCATATATTATCTTGGACAACTTTTTTTTTTACCTGTCTTCCACAAACAGCTGTAACTCTGAGAAGCGATTTTCCATGTTCATCGCAAAGGGTGTTGGCCATTTGAACCACTTGCTCACACAGCATTACATTTGGACATAGAACAAGAGAGAGCTTATTAATTGAAGCCAAGTCTTGGTCGCCATCACGTTGTTCATTGCATATCTTGTTAATTAGGGGCACTAGGTAACCATGTGTTTTACCACTACCAGTTTCGGCTGCAATGACCACATCGTTTCCCGACATTATAGAGGGAACGCAAGCAGCCTTAAACGCAAACAAGAATGCATCAGAAGTGATAAAAAGGTAGAGAAATATAAAGGCATCAACCAAGAAAGATTAGAAGGGGTTGCAGAAACTTCCATTGACACGCTATCAAGACCACCGAAAGCAAAATATGTATCTAAGATATTACATCTTATGCTGAAGATTGTTGGGAGGGAGTCCCACATTGGTTAATTAAGGGAAGATCATGAGTTTATAAGGAATACTATCTCCGTTGGTATGAGGCCTTTTGGGAAAACCAAAAGTAAAGTAATGAGAGCTTACACTCAAAGCGAATAATATCTATTCTTAACTTATTCATGTCAATAGAATACTCAAATGTCGAACAAAGAAGTAGTGAGCCTCAAAGGTGTAGTAAAAAGTGACTCAAGTGTCAAACAAAGGGTGTAATTTGTTCTAGAGCTCCAGAAAAAGGAATCGAGCCTCAATGAAGGGGAGGCTGTTTGAGTTCTCTATAAGCCTTAGAGGAGACTCTATGGTGTACTTTGTTCAAGAGGAGGATTGTTGGGAGGGAGTTCCACATCGACTAGTTAAGGGAAAGATCATGTGTCTATAAGTAAGTAATATTATCTCCATGGTACGAGGCATTTAGGAAAAAACCAAAAGCAAAGCGATGAGAGCTTATGCTCAAAGTGGACAATATCATACCATTGTGAAGAGCCGTGGTTCCTAAGGCATTTTCTTTTTCATTTTATATGCTTCATTCTATGTTTTCAAGAAAACCAAAGAAACCCAGTGAAGGGAGAACAAGAGGGAGAATATATTCCATCTTATCGAAACAAGTTCAATTCTTATACAAGCAAACATGGTTTTCACTCCCTAACTATTCTTAAGCACCAAAACATAGTCAGCTCCCAACTACTGGCTAGTCCTTGCAATCCGAAGACCAAGGCGAACACACTACGCGAAAAGTTCTGTAATATTCTAATTCTCATGACAGGAAGATGTCCGTGTACCTGAATCAATGATGGCCTCTGGATTCCGGCACTAACAAGAGCTCGAGAAACATTATCAGAGACACCAAGTGATGTCCAAGAAATACCTTCAGCCGCATAAAAAGTATCCCTTCCAATTCCATCAGCAACAGGTGTTGCAGCAGAAGCAGCAACAGTTCCAACAGCCCTTGATTGCTTAGAGCAAGGTTTTCTCAAACAAACCAACCCAATTCGGATAGAACATGAACTAGGAACCAATAAGTTCGAATTTTTGAATGAGAAAAGCAGCTTAGACGATGACGCTAATCTCTCTAAATAGAGCGCAGAAGCAGAGCGATACAGAAGCATTGACTCTGTAATGGATTGAGCCTGGAAAAACGCTAACCTGCTGCTCTCTGTATGGAGTCACTATTATCCCTATCTTTTCTGTTCTGTAAAATGCTATAAGAAAGAAAATTAAGTCCAAGGGTTTTAGGGTTTATGGTAAAATCTTTCTACAGCAATTATATTAAGCAAAAGGGCCCACTTGTGAAATCGACGCACCAATCACCATTGCACTATTAGACACGTGTCCAATCATAGGTCAACCATAGTCAAATACATATTTCGTTAGACACAAGACCACAGTTTCCTCTCGTACAGAAGAAGCTTCAATGGCGCCAAAAACTCTCCGAGGATCGCATGGAATGTTTTCAGGGACGATCGTCTTCTTAGACAAAAACGGCTTGCAGGTACGCATATTGCAGGCTTATCTTTCTCTGCAGCTTTGTATTTCAATGAATTAGGGCAATTTCTACACTATTTCAGAAGGTTCTCTCGTACCAGTGGCTGGGAAGACGGCTTAAGATCAGGGGAGAAGGCGTCAGAGGATTTATACACTGTAAAAGCAGGTTAGATGAAGATGGAAGAGACTAAGCCCCGACCGTGTATTTCCTAGAAACTGAAATTGTCTTCTAACAATTCGGAAGCAGTAAGTTCTGAAAGGGTTGGAGATTCAAATGCTTCAAACTTGGTAACGAAGACTGCTACAGGTCTTGGGGACTTCAAATTAATAGCGATGTAAGTTTCTTTGGTACCCAATTCATAGCTTGATGTTGGAATGTGTTTGTCTTGTATAAGTTGTGATCATGTTCTTCCTTAACTGGATCCCTAATTCAGATTTATATCTATAATGAAAAATTCCTACATTGCTCACCAGTTTATAAGCTGGGCATGTTTCATTATAGACATGGGGCTTGATCGAGGAATTTCTTGAAAGTAACTCCTAGTTTTCTTTAGACCGCTCGTATCAGAATTAGTACGTTCTAATGAGGTGAAAAATTTGCAGACATCTCTAATACAATCCACCAGATACGAATAACATACTGAGATTTTTGGAAAAGTTAACAACATATACAGAGGTAATAATGACATCCTCCAAACTATTTGCAAACCCACCGACATGATTTTCTTCCAGATTTTTAAAACGTGTCTGCTAGGTAGAGTTTTCCATACCCTTAGAAAGAATGTTTTGTTCTCCCCGATCGACGTGAGAGCTCAAGATACTTCATTGTGCTGTTTCTGACACTTTAGCTTGTCTTCTTTATATTTTAAGCATTGGGTTACGAAGAAAGGTCATTTAGCTCTTACAAGGCAATTCCAGTCATTGAGAAGCTACCTTTTAAAATTGAGAGCATTAATCAGGACAAACACCTGGCAGCCTTAGGAAAGTCATTGGAGGATCATGTGAATGAAACGACTTTAGTTCACTCCAGTTGGCTCTGTATTTTGGGTGGAATATGGTAATCTTTGCACTTATATAGTATATTGCATCATAAATGACCTGCAATCAATGTTGTTGCTCATAATATCATTTCCCATTGAAGCACTTGATAGGACTGGCCAATATTAGCTACTGTAAGATTGAACCACTGTCCTGCGATTTGACTGTACATTTCTGATTTGATCCATTTTCTTTATAGTTCCTTGAGAGTTATTTTCTCTGTGATTCCAGCCATGGACGTTTCCTACCAAGATATGTATAGAATTTCAAGGATATGAAGTTTTTAAGGGAGGATCTGATATTCAGTCATAGAGGTTTTCTACCAAGATAGTCCTTTTATTTCTAATCTGTTCTTTCTTTGGCCACTTCATATGTAGAATAGAATGGTACATTGAGCTAGATAGAATAGAGCCAAATTCATGTTCAGTTAATAACTGAAGTGGACGGTAATAGGAAATCATGTCTGCCGTGAAAATATATCTGTAACTTCAGTTGAGCTGAGTGAATGAAGATTGTTAGGTTCATTCTTATTCTTTGGTGTCTAACATGGTTGTGTCCTCATCTGATATTTCGTGATATCGTGGTTGCTCGGCATTTGTTTCTCTTAGCTGAAATTAGCAACGTCTTTCCTAAGTCATTTAAAGGTGTTGTGGAGTAGTTGGTTATCACGTTAGTCGAACACACTAAAGGTGGGGTGGTCATTTCTTAGAAACTAGCTGTAGTTAGGGACGTCTATGACAAACTAGCTGTAGTCAAACACACTAAAGGTGGGATGGTTAATTATTATATATTATTTGTTTGTATATTTTTTTTGCTCGTGGGTTGTCATGTTTTAGCAACTAGCTGTAATTAGGTACGTCTTTGCCAAACCAGTGAAGGTGTCATGGGCTAGTTGGTTATCGTTTCACACACACTGAAGGTCCCTCATTCTTCAAGTCTTGGCGATGCTAAAATAATTTTTATTATTTGTTTGTATATTTTTTTTGCCCGTGTAGTTTGTTATCACACCAAAGGTCTCTAGTACATCTTTTTTTTTTTTTTTTGTGAATG